GGCCGCAGCCCGGTGTGAGCGGTGGTGACGGGCCGCATGCGTTCGCCCTAAAAATCGGGTTCTATTAGAGGGAGGTGCGTCAGGTAATACTGACGGGCAGCACCTCATCCGTGTGAGAAACAGCGTGGCGCATCCACGGGCTTTTAAGACCTTACTTCCTCCGTGTTTTCACTTTTATTTTATTCTGTTCCCCTGGCCGACATGAACACCCAGCTACTGGCAAAGGTTTAGTTGTATAATCTCAGATCAGTTTCCGGAGTGGCCAGATTTATTCTTTATGGCCAGATCTCCCTTTTTCTCTACTGTTGAAGCTGTTGCTGTTTTGTGGATGTCTTGGTTACTTAATTTGCGGCGAGGTTAAGTTGTAAGTAAGATACGTGAAATCCGAAATGCGTGTTATTTATTTGTGGCTGGGCAGCCGGCTGTATAGAGGCAAACCAGGGAGGGGTGTGCTTGCAGTTCCCACCGTGAGATGCAGTTACGCTGAAACAGTCACTTTTTCTCAGACCATTTAGGACTTGGCTCTTCCTTTCTCTTCCCACTATTTCTTCCGTGCCACTGTACTCCGCAGATGTGCCGTCTGTTTAGTAGAACAAAACAGTCCCGGAGCTAAATAGTTCTTTCCATTCCAAAAGTCTGTTTTTAAGAGGCTGCAGATAGTGCTGCTTGGCGTCAACTGTGGTGTCTGATGTTTGTAACTTCAACGTTTCAGGCATTTAAAGATACTGGCAAAGCACCTGTGGAACAAGAGGTAGCGATTCATCGCATTAGAATTACTTTGACAAGTCGCAATGTAAAATCACTTGAGAAGGGTGAGTGATACTTCTTTTTTAACTGGGGTAGCTTGTTAAGCATTGAGTGATATGTGTAAAATAAGAATGGGTTAGAAAGGACCTTAAGATCATCTAGTTCCCCAACCCCCCTGCCGTGGGCAGGGTATGTATGATGTGATGTATTGCAAAACAGAGTGTACTGACGCCAGCTGTCTTTAGAGGTGTTGGTGTTTGCCTGCTTGTAGGTGACCTGGCTCACAAAGTCAACCCAAAGTGCTTCATACACTGACAAGTAGATTCTGTTTTAATTTTCAACAGAAGCCAGTGTTCGGGGGGTTTCATAATGCTGAAAACTAAATGTCACAATGAGTAATGCAAGAGGGTGCAGCTTCTTCCTTTTAGGTCCTGTGGGGGTTTCACTTTTCACTGCTTGAATTTGTAAAAACTGAAAGGCACCAGTTTCTTGACTGGCATTTTGTCACTCTTGTTGAGAAGAGTTTAGTTTAGAAGTTCATTATTTAAGAAATTATCTAATCTTGTGTAGGAACTGGCTTTGCCAGTGTTAAATCGTATAATGTAAAAGTACAGTGACTGGTGCGGGAACTTCAGGCAAATACAGCTTAAACTTGTAGTAGTGGCTTTTGCCTACTGTTGTAATGTGGCTTTGCTTACTGTGGTGTAACTCTTCTGCTTGTGTGTGGTTGGCTATGAGGATCACCCTTCAAATGAATGCCAGTGATCACTTCATACGCTATTCTGAGCCAACATCTTCTTTGAAATCGTCGCGTAAAAAAATGAGCAAAAAAGCCCCACTCACATCTGAGCTATTTTGGGTTTGTGTATTTTTTTTCAGTCTGTGCTGACTTGATCAGAGGTGCTAAGGAAAAAAACCTGAAGGTGAAAGGACCTGTTCGCATGCCCACCAAGGTACTTAACACTTGTTTTCTTGTCCTAAAAGTTTGGGGGGTTTCTGCAAGTACGCACTTAAAACTTCTGAAATGGAAAAAGAATTGACATGAAAAGCAGTACTACAAAATTGAGAGTGACCCCATGTAAACAGGTAATGACTTCACAAATTGCTTTGACACTTGGGGCAACTCTTTAGCGCAAAACGTGCTGAACATTGGAAGGGGCTTTTCTGTCAAGGTTGGTTTTGTTACTTTTTTTTTTGTTTAATTGAATATAAGGAAGGAGTGTTAACATCAGTAGAACATAAAGTAAGAAGTATTTTTCCAATGGCATTGATACGGTATTTTTAGGTAGACTGATTTGATTGTAGATTAGTCTTCTGTATGCACCATCAACTCAGCACCCTGTGTTTACAATTCTTCCTCAGACTCTGCGAATCACTACCAGGAAGACACCTTGTGGTGAAGGTTCCAAGACCTGGGATCGTTTCCAAATGCGTATCCATAAGCGGCTCATTGACTTACACAGCCCATCTGAGATTGTGAAGCAGATCACTTCCATCAGCATCGAGCCAGGTGTTGAAGTTGAAGTTACTATCGCTGATGCCTAAGTGATGGTCATCGCTGAATAAAGTTGCTTTACAAATTTTCATCGCTGTTTGTTTTCATGCGTGTGCCAGCAGTCTTGGGTAGCCCCGTGATGATTTTAATGAAGAACAACAGATTATAATCAAAATGCTGTGTTGAGAGGATTAAATGATATTTAAGGAAGAATGTGCCAGTTTGAAACCTAAGGAAGATGAAACTTGGGCATCATTCTCTCTAAGCAGAGAAAAAAAACCCATGTCTTCTTAAGGGCCAGTTTGTGTTAATACAACTGTGAGCTGCCCGACAAATGCTTCTATGCTTAGTTTTAAATTTATTTGTATTTTTCTGGGCGCTCTGAAGAGTGTGGGAAGAACCTGACTTTGTGACACCAGGCAGAGTAAGAAGGGATAAACCAGCAAACAACAGACTAAAGTGTTACTAGCTGAGGCTTGCTGACCTTTGTGTATAAGCTATTGACTTCCACCCAGGTAGTCCCTCTGCTTGACCTAGTGGGACTTACGACTGAAAGCACCTGGAGGGATCTGAGGAGGGCTGTCTGGCTCTAATACCCTTTCTGTCTTTGGTCTTTCCTGTTGGTCAAAACCCATTGCTATAAAATAGGGTTTTGTTGACTTACAGCTGGCTGGATGTACAGTGCTCCTTAAACATACCTAATGACCTGAAGTCCCATCTGTTTTTGAGCACCTGTGGGTCCTTCCTTCAGTGCCATGAGTATCTTTTCATCTGCCTGCAAATCACTTGTGAAAACATACAACTTTACCTTTGTGTCTGGGTCTTGTGCTATGCAGCAGTAAAATTCCCTGCTCCCTGGGTAGATAGGCTCACCGGAACAGCAGGCCATTTGCTGGTTGAAGGTAATGGCACCCTCCCCACTGCTGTAGTAAGCCCTTTGCTTGACCTGCCCCAGTTCTGCCTTTGTGTAACCTGAGTGGTTTGTGATTTGTTTTGCATTTAAGCTTACAACAATACCGGGTGGTGTCGAAGCGGTTACATAACGCTCATAATAACTTTATATAACTCTTTTGATGGAAATACTTACATATTAGAGTCTTCCCTGATGGCACACACTCAGGCTAGACACCGCTCCTCTGGCCGCAATCTACCGCTGCTGGCGCTGCCTTGCTTCGTTCAAACCATTATATTTTTGGGGTTTTTTTTTTCACCCCCTCGTGCCTTGATATAGACGCATATATAAACCCTGCGTCAGGAGCACACGCTGCAGGGCCTGTGTTGTGTCCGAGCCCGGCCCGTCCCCCGTTACCCCCCTCTCCACGCCGGTGCCG